CCACTCACTCCCCTCACTCCACTCACTCCACTCACTCCACTCACTCCACTCACTCCACTCACTCCACTCACTCCACTCACTCCACTCACTCCACTCACTCCACTCACTCCACTCACTCCACTCACTCACTCACTCACTCACTCACTCACTCACTCACTCACTCACTCACTCACTCACACAAACAAACAAACAAACAAACAAACAAACAAACACACACACACACACACACACACACCCCCCCAAGAGGCTCTCCCCCAAGTATTGGCGCATTTCAGGCACGGAGCAAAAATTCTCACGCACGGCCGAAAGGAATTACACCCCAAGTTCTAGTGGGTTCTGTTGCTCCGGAACGCGCGTTATCCGGCCTCCTCTCTACTTTGCTTACAAAACAGAAATTTAATTAGCCTGTCTCCATATTATTTTTGCTTATAAATTGAGGAATTGTTTTTTTTTTGATCCCTTAAATAATTTCTTTTATTCATGTTTTCAACATTTTTTGATGCTTCACCCCGTGGGGAGGGGGTTCGGGTTCGGAAACTTCGTTCACTCTTGCGCAGGTGAGCATCGAGTGGAACAAGCGCCGCATGAGCGACTTCTTCACCAAGAACTACGACTGGGACAGCCGTGCTTGCACTTCTTGCAGAGCCAATTGAGCTGCTCTGCCGCTTTAGCTGCGGAAATGTCGTGGTACCGGCCAGGACCTCTTGGCATCCAGATCGGTTTGGGCATTCGGCCCGGAGGTGCGCAGCCGAAATCGGAGCAGCACGCTGGGCTGCGAGTCGACTCGCTTTGATTCTAGTCCCTTGAACTTGAGGTGAACGGGCCCAATGTCCTGGTCGACGATTGCCTGCCGAGTGAGGCGCAGTTCTCTCCTCTTGTGCGGCAGGGCGAGCGCGGCGTGGCCTCCCATAATATTGTGTCAGAGGTGAACAAGAGCTTGCTCGTTCAAAGCAAAGATAGTTGAGAGCTCAGCAGACAAGAGATTTGCCAGTCATGCCATGCAGGGGCTGTTTCCATTGAGGCTTAGTGCAGGGCTTCCAGTGGGCCACGAAAGAAGGTCCCCTCTGTGATGTGCGCTGCTCAGTTTCTCAAAGTCTCGTGAAGCGCTCACCGAATGTGGCTGACGACATACTCCTGACACCCTCGCACCGTCCAGGAAAAGATTCGCAGCTGCAAGTTCAAAATCCTCAATGCTCAGATGGCAGAGGATGCGGTGCTGCGTGGTGGCGGCAGCTTGGCATAGATCCACAAAGGTGGCCGTTTCTTGGGGGTGCGAAGTCGGCTGTAGGCCAGATAATTCCCACAGCCCGGCGGGTGGGCGGCTCAGGTGGCTGCGACAGAGCTCATTTTTCCCATTTCTCAACCTTTGCAGGTGGCCTACTCGGCCTTCCTGCTAGCAACTCCTCGTCTGATGGAGCCGGTGATGCCGGATGCCCTGTGCTGTCTGCGAGAGAGCAGAGCTTCCTTGCTTTGTGCCAAACTGGGGAAATGTGCCTAGGCTCTGGAGAGATTGGAAAGAGTGGCAGAGAAAGTGAGAGAGTTGCCTTAGCTGTGCGCTTTGATCCGCAGGTTCTCGGATATCGAGTGCCCGGCCGACTGCGTAGCTGCCATTTACAACGTGCTCTCCAGGAGGCTGTGGACTCTCGCGAACGCTTGAGAGCTTTTCAAAGCGAAGAGAGAGAGGGCACAGGGCAAGTGCGGGTGGGCTAAAGCCCGGGGGTCTTAACCGACCCTCAT